GGTAGGTAAACCTAATATATGTCTTGTGTGTGTGTGTTTCACAAAAACTTCTGGATTCAACAAAAATATTATAATTATGATATAAGATAGTTCAAGTAGTCATTTAAGTAAATTTTGTGGTTTCAAAACTGATCAGGTTGTTGATTGTGGTCTGTTGGATACTGGTAAGAACTGGAACTCGCTGTTGTATAAAGCAGTCCAGAGCATCTAAACATGCTTCGTGACATGTTTGTATGCTGGCCGTCCAAGAACTGGGATGTTTTCAGGTGATGTGTTCTCTTCACGGATAAATCCTGGTTTTCTCTGTTCAGGGCAGACAGTGTGTGTGACGTCATGTGAGTGAGTGGTTTGCTGATCTCGATGCTGTGATCTTGTAACCCATGGTGGCTTTATGGGATATGGTTTATATGTAATGGACATGAATACAAGTCCAGTACATTGATGGCCTTTTGATTGGCCAATTTGTGTCATGCATTCACAAATAAATAAATAAATAAACTTTAATATCTGTATAATTCACAACCAGGATGAGTCTCTGCTGTAAGTCCATAGTGTTCACACTCATCACATTCATACCCATTAGATCAGTCCCCTGGGGATCGTGACCTCCTAATGACATCTATATCAATGTCCTGCTGAGTTCTACAGAGTAAGACCTGTCTTACATCTAAAGGGCCTTTGTTACATATTTGACCAGAAGCATGCCTTAATAAGTTTAAAGATGCAGCATTATCTAAATAATTAGTAGAAAACCACTATTAGAGCGCAGAAATCTGCCAAGAGGCATGGTTCCATTCCTTAAAAGAATTTCTGATCTGGATCGCCTCCAAAATGTAAATTGTGTTTTGTTCCACTTCCACTTGTCGAGAAAACAGACATTTTAGATCATTTTAAAGAGTCTTTTAAAAAGTCTATCCACACATACAAGCCTACCTACTTTATCAACACAAATTGCATAAATGACTGAATGTTTGACACGTTACATTCCAGGAACACTTGCATTTTGCACTAAATTTGAAGATTTAGGCTGTTTATTTGTTGTTGTTCATGATGAGCATAGTTTGATGTAGAAATATATTTCTACATCCAGAGTGCATCCGTTAAACACAAAAGGGATTGAACTTTGCAGAGAACTTTCTTGGGTTTCTGTCTTTTTAAGGACGCTGTCATAAACCATGGCTGGGTGCCATTGTGGCTGAGGACGTCCACGCTTCTATTAGCAGGAAAGTGGCAGCACTCTCCAGAGCTCTGTTTAAAAGTGTCCCAGTAGCATCCGAATGACTTTGCTCGCCGACTCGGCCAAGGAAAATAGAGTTTATGAAATGGAAATTCTGAGACCATTCACACACTGCCAGAAAGTATTCGAGAAAATGCTGTGTCTAAAAAGTCCATCCAAAGGTGTAGCGAAAACATGCTTACCCTGGTCATAGTTATTTAAAGGGAGCCCCACAGGTTTGATATAAGGGCAACTGGCTCGTCCAGAAAATCACAGTTTCAGAGTCAAACATGTGTCACTGCAGGTGTTATATGTCTATTGTTGCAGCTGCTTTTTCAGTTGAGGGTAAGTGGTAAAAAGCTCCAGTTCATCTACTTACCTTTCTTCTTTCACCATTCGGCACAGACTCAAACACTCTTGACTCTGCAGGAAAATATTTAAATGGCTGATATAGAATTGGGCCAACACAATGAGGTCATAACCATTCACAGATTGACATAAGGTTGACTGAGGCTGAGGTTAAAAATAACATGAGTGATTTCACCTTGAGTTTTATAGTACATGTGTTTTTGTTTTAGTATATTGACATGTATATGTTTTATTTTACAGTATACGTATAGGAATGTGTAAGCAGTTTAGGGCCAATATGAGTTGTCCAGGGGCACAGAAAGGGAAATGAGCTTCAGTGGAGAGGCAACGGAACACAATCTACAGGAAGCTCTCAGATCACCTTTTGGATTATCACGTTGGAGTAACTTTGAATTCAGTGTAAAGAGACTATTAATAACTTTTCTCATGCATAAACATGTGTTTCCATTATTTGCCATCCACTCTGCTCGGGGTGCAAGGGGTCTGTTGGCATTCTTGCACCGTGTGCTTTGCGCTCGACCGAATCTTGGCTCTGGTCCACATCCCCTCTGTACCCTCCCTACTCTCCACTAAACACCCTTCCCCCTTCTCAACCTCTTCAGCTCCCCTCTGCTGCTTCCCAAACCACTGCTCCTGCCAGCGAGTCCCTGGACAAGCCCTCATCAGCCTGCTGCGGCTGCTATCACCGTCCCTAATCCTACCTCATTTATCTCCCATAATTCAGCCCACAACTCCCCTTCACTATGTGCACTTTTCCCTCTTCGTGGCAGCAGGTCCAGCCTCTGTGACACAGATGCACCAAGTAGCTCTGGGCGTTCGACATGGGAACAAAGCATTGGTGGGGCCCGTCTGTCACAGTGTGTGTGGTATTTGTGTGTGTGCAGAACTGCAAGAGAGTTCACATTGAGATACTAAAGAAATGAACTGTAAATGTACACGTGTCTGTGGATGTTATTGTATTATTTTCAATCTTAACCAAGGCCATTTACTTTTAAGAACAAGAGAGCACTTTTATTTTTATCTTTCTAACTTTGACCTTTCCCATTTTGAGAGGAAAGTTGAATTGCAATATATTTTCTTGCATAATGCATCATTCACCATTTTAAGAGTCTGACAATTGAGTAATGATTAGTAATTTGAGTAAAGCCATTTCTTCACTCTCCATCACGGAAACAGCACATAGTGGTCCAGAGCTTGTGTCATGTTTTTTATAGGTCTGTGAGAAAAAGATGCAGAGGTGACATCAAAACTCTAGCCTCAGCTTCATATTTGCACCGTGTAGAATTAGTTGTGGGGATTTTGTCAGAGACCTCAGGGCGGATGGGTGGGAAATGAGATGCCTCAACACTTCAGTGCTCTCCTCGCTGTGCGTCCAACTCCCCCACACACCTGGGATGGCCATTTCATTTCAGAGTGCAGTAAATGGAAAGGTGATCTTAATCTAGCCTGTTTCCTTCTACCCCCTCCCTCGCTCCATCTCCCACACAGAACCCCACTGCTGATGGACAGTACACTACTGGTTGTCCGCGCCTGCCACCAGCACACCAAATTTAGCGATAGGAATCCCACTGTTTTATTACCTCTTCAGTTCAAATCTAATCTTTGGTCGTTCTTGTATCTCTGGGTCACACACTGTAAATGGTACTTGGTGCTTTGCTTTCAAATGGTAGCAGTTTACAGTGTTCTGGACAATAAGTATTTTGCCTTGACCTCCTCTGTGTGAACCTGCTTCAGTCATTACTCAGTGTTAGGTCTTTTTCACTGCTCATGGGCCGTCGCCGCCACAAGCAGAGCTATGCACTCACCATTGATTTCCTATGAATAGCCTGCTTGAGGCCAGTTCATTAGGAGGTGTCCACAGCCCACTGGATTAACTGGACTGTAAATGCAGCACAACTATAGGTTTTCTGAAACATTTAATATACTCCCCTAAAACGGTGTGAGTGTGAAGTAGAAGTTACAATTTAAAAGCTAATAAAAGTAAACTCTGTAAAGGGATTGCATTGTGAGTTACTCTTGTTAGTTTTGTTGAAATAGTGGTCATCCTCCGGAAAATAAAGCAGACTTTGTGCTTCTCATCTCTCCTCTTCTCACACATGGCTTGAGGCTGGACTGAGGCTGCAGCTCCACCCGCCCGCCCAGCCGTTACTATAGCAACACTATCTGGGCCTACCAAGACCTAAAGCCGAAGGACATCCTGGACAACAATACAATAGCAGCACAGCTCTGGGTACCTGAGGGACTTAGACCTGAGAGGCCCGATCTGGGGAGGGGAACAACAGCCTCCTCCTGTCTCCAAGCCCTGCACAGGAGCAGGATTTTCAAAGTGCACAGATGAACACCTTTTTGTTTCAATCACTATTTTATGGTTATTCTCTATGGAGTTTATGAAAAATCTATCTAAAATGTTTTGAAATGGAATGTCTGTTGAAGTTGAGTAGTATTTAATTCAATTAGTGTTTGCACAGAGATATTTATGTTTTGTTCAGATTTGGGATTTTATCGGGAGCAAACCCTAACCCAAAATTTGGTAATTGAGAAGAAACTATAAAATATTAAAGCTATAGGGTACTTAACTTTTATGCTCTATACTGTATATGAGTCATTATTTGATGCTTTGGGCTGAGAGATGAATATCTGAACAAGAGTGGTCCTCTCTTTTTAACTTGTCAGTCTGAAAAGGCTGATCTAAAGATGTTACAGAGACCAAAGATAGTTCCCATTTCATAGTTCAATTAGTTGTGATTTGTTGTTTAGGTACCACAGCTTTAAGAGCACTTTACTATGTTTTGAAAAAAAAAAAAAAAAAAAAACATTTTAAATGTTGTCATAGCAGTGATTTGACAGGTCCCTTTTGAGTCTCATGTGTTGGATTTATACATGATTGCAGATGTGTTTTTCATCTTGTCAATAATAAGGGGTTACATCAGGCAACCTAGAGTGAGGGATAAGAAGCATGCGGCATTGTTGTCATTGGCTTCGTCGCTCTTAAAGCCACAGATGCCTTCATCATCACACAGCCCAGTTCTCCTGAACACGAAACCTTGAATTAGTTTAGTCTTTGTGCGCCTGCATGCTTACATGATCGAAGTAACCATTAACCACTGTTGCTTAAAGAGGAAACTATCGCTCTCTGTATCCCAGTTAAGTGCTTGTACTGTATATGAGCAAGAGTATTTGTATTCCATTAAAGTCTTAAGTGTTATTAGCCCTGTGGCGGCCCGCTTCACAAATGAAAATCTTTGTTATGTAAACCAGGGGGGTCATGCTGCGCTGTGACGAGATTGTCCACATCTTTTGTACGGCTGTTCTAAGGGACAAGTTTTCCTCGATTAAAAGTGTTTTGTTGAGAATTGTGAACAAAATATTGCACAATCACGCTAAAACACCCCCTCTTTGTGTGTGTCTTTTGCAGGCCGCCTCGCAAACAGGATGTTAATGCTCGACGGTATGCCTGCAGTCAGAGTCAAATCCGAGCCCCTGGAATCGGAACAAGGGGTAAGAAAACTAGTTGTTTTCCAGACAATTCTACCAGATTTTATTTTCTTTTTCAGTTTTTCCTCCTTCCCCTCTGGCAATGGGCAGATAATCACTCCCAGGCCCAGGAAAATGAGTGAGAGAAAGCATGAGGGGGCTAAGAGGAGTGGTCGGAGAGCATGGTAGTAAGTATAGCAAGTCAGAACCAATGGAAGGAGAATCACAGCTGGAGCAGGAATGTACAGGGGGAAAAGTGGAGGGGAGGAGGGGGCGACCGGAGCCAGAAATGAGTCCACATTGGCTGAGGGTGATGCAGATGAAGTCACTGCTCCAGGGAGGAGGGTTACATGGGAAACGAGATCTTTTCTATTAGTCTGCCCAGCTTGTTTATGTCTGTGTGGTTCCTGGTATCCTCTCATGCCCCTTTAGTAGCTCTCAATTCAAGTTGAGATGTTTCTTTTATGGCATTCACTTTAAAAGACTTTTCACCTTAATTTATGTATGATAAAAATGTCTAATTAAAATATTAAATAGTTTTGGATTTACAATGGATCACCTTTCAACTATATTTGTCAGATTTACAGATAACTCAAAACTTAGTCTTGTAAAAGTAAAAAAATAATCTATGTAGACAAATCAGACATGCTTAATGCTGTAATGTTTAAATATTTAGCATACTTGAAACAGCCTTGTGTGTCACTATTTTAATCTGAATGATTGAGGGTGGCCCTCTCGTTTCCTGTTTTCTCTCTGAAAAAAGCTATCCATCCATCCATTTTCTTCCCCTTAATCCATTTCTGGGCGGGGGGGGGGTGGCCAGAGATGCCACCCAGCACACAGAGCACCAGCCCCTCACTGATCCTCCTGCAGGTGGTGAGTCCACAGGAGCTGAGATCTTTCAGTGGGAGCTTCAGGCAAAGTGGGGTTAAGTGTCTTGCCCAAGGACACAACGACAGCAGTCATCAGTGGGAGTCGTGAAGTAGGTCTTACGGTGGGCTCGAACCCACGACCTTCAGGCTCAAAGGCCAATGCTCTACCAACTGAGCTACTGTCGCCCCGCACTGAAAAAAGCTAATCTGTGACAAAATAAATGACATTATGTGAAAACTAGTGATGGAACCAAAGTGTGGTGACGGAAATAGGAACTAATTACATGGATTAAATGTTTGTAGTTTGTATAGGTACTTTAGCTTTAACAAAGGAATCACATAACTGACTGTAACATCACACAGCACACAAATATCAAAGCTGTATTAATGGATTGTTTTCTTCATAGCCATTGGAGATATTGCTGTGAACCTTAATATTTAATATTTTTTTCCGTCCTGGACTGAGGTAAATGTAACATTGCACTAATTTCTTTATTCAAATTTGCAATTCAGAGTCCAAGGTTACAAACAGGTGGTTTGGTTAAGGTTAGAATTGGGACTAAGGTGAGGGTTAACTTACAGTGGGACCAAATACCAAGATTCTCGAGAGTCCCATATTTTTTGACCAAAACATATTTTATTCCCTCAATTTTGGTCAAAGGTAAGGGAATAATCGCACTGCTTACACCAGCTCCCCTATCCGAGCAGTAACTGGATCTGTGGAGCGTTCATTGAGTCCCACATGTGTTGATAATGGCCTCACCTCTGTCAGGTTCAGCACGGCCCACATTGAAACTCTGCCTTTCACACATACCTCGAAATAAAGTGGGCTTGTTGTGGAGGAGCGGTTGCTAGGTTACAGCAGCTTTCCACAGCTGCGTTTCCAGTCGACAGCACTTTTTATTTGTAATCATGATAAATGAACACTGCGTTTTGTCATTGATTTCCATTGACAATGCATCAATAATTGCTTGCCCCTTTGTCTCAGCGAGGGAGAGAAGTTGAGACGGGTATTGAGACGAGTATTAGTGGATGATGGATGAGGGAAATGCCATTTGCTGATAACGCATCAGCTTATCTCTGGAGTTCTTGTGCTGGAATCTGTGTTATTGCTTGTTGTTGATAAAAATGAAATATGACTTTATGAAGCGCTGATAAAAGACGACGCAGTCACTTAAACTGTTGTCACAGAAGTCGGTCAGTCGCTACACAGATCTTTAGTGACTCTTTTGTTTTCTCTGTCATTTACAATCACTCATAGATTATGCCATTAATGAATGAATGAATTGACAAAGTTGTTTAAAACAAGTATTAAATAGGCCTGTAGTATGGGTGGGGGGAAAGCATTGTTCATTTTGTTTGATTGTAAAGGGAATATTAAACCTTGGGTACCTGACCCTCAAACCTAAAAAAATGTCACTTTGTAATCAAGTACAAACTATATTAAAGATTTAGTTTATTTGCTATTTGCACTAGGGGTGGGAACTTCAGGATACCTCACGATATGACACGATACGCAATACAAAGCTCACAATAATGATTATATCACGATATGACGATTATCGATATATTGGTCAGAAATATACCATACGCCAATTTATGGCATAAATAAAAGAAAAATGTTAAGTGAAAAAATACACTTCATTTCATAATAAATGGAATGGAGATGCGTAATGTAGTCATATATTAAGTATTGATACTAATTGAAAAAAAAATATATATTTTTTTTTCAAAATCGATACTTGGCAAATGCATATCGATAATCGATTGCGGGAGATAGTATCACGATATATCGTCACACTCGTAATTTGCACGATAGTCTTGGGTCCAAAACACTTTGGTTCTATCACTAGTTTTCACATGGATTTTTGGCCTTGGTCTCAAATTTTCAGAATTTTCAAACAAAAGCAGGACCACACAGCAGCTTTCAGCACAAGTCAATTGGTGACTCACAGGGCTTACGAGACTCTTTCTGTTTCAAACAAACTGAACTTAAAAAATAGTTTAAAAAGTAATTTTCATATTTTTTTATTGTGACAAATGACAATACATCTTCAAAACATCTCGCGACCAACCGCTCAGAGCTTTGGGAACTTCTGCCCTAGAGCAACAGACATTCAGCGGTGACCCAATATTTGTGCTCATCTCCACATGTGCAGCTGTGTCAGTCAGAGACAGGAAGTCAGCATCACAGCCCACATGCTTTGAACTGCACTGAGATCCAATCTGCCCTGCCTGAGCCCTGCCTTTAGACTGCAGACAGACAGTTTAGGCTGCTCAAGAAGAAATGTGGTCTTCATTTGGGTGGCGGGGGGCCAGGGGCTTGCTGGAAATGGAGCGCCTTGTTAGACAGTTCACCCGCAAGGGGCTGGAAAATCTGCCCAGCAAACCAGTATCCCCTAATAAAGACAATGGCGTGAGGACAGAGGCAGGCAGACCATATCTTTCAGTGTATGCGTTAGTCTGGGTCGGAGAGACTGTGTTTTTGTATCTGTCAAAACGAGAGTGGGGGTGGGTGAAGTTTTCCGTTTGAGTTGCATGTTGAGATGTTCTGGCTAAGGCTAGTGCTGCAGATGTAAATAAGTTTCTGTTTCTAATTTTTCACTTAACTCTGTTATTTTGACCTTTTCACACTATTGTTATCATTTATTTAGTAAAGCCACAAGGGGACTCACAGTTTATAGTATTATTTCTTCTAATGCACGCTTAGTCGGTCTTTTTATCAATACTTTTAGAATATTGTGCAAAATCAACTTTTTTGAGCTTTTAACCATGTTACAACATTTTTCCTCATCAAAATCAGACCTGGGGTTGTTTGTAGATCCATCCACTAAAACTGATCTAAAGATGTGATAGAGGCCAATCAACTCTCAGCATCTGAAACATACAATGCTTGGTAATAAGATAAAGACAGAATTTTGTGTCTGATTTATTCACAAAATATTACTTACAACACTCTTTCTGTTACAAACAAACTGAACTCATGAAACACAAAATAGTTCAAAAAGTAATTTATAACTTTCTATGTCTGTTTTTTTTTTCTGGCAAAAATTGGTTAGATATTTAAGGCAAAACCTGTAATAGTATGATGTTATTGTACCACTATGACGTCACACTTTAAAACAAAAGTAGTTTCCATATTTTAGTTAATCTGCAATTTTTCTGGTGAAATTTATTTTTCTGCAATCCTATGACTGTGTTTTCAGCCAGTATATTTCAAAGAAAGTGTACCACTCCCTCTGGTAGTTACAGGCAGAAAGCATTTTTTTACCCTTCATACTTGTTTCACCATATCATATTTTTAAATGTTTTTGTTGTTGTACTTTTATAAGCAACAGTGGCAGTTTGGGTGCCACAGATAGCAGGAGTCCTCTTTTGTCCTTCTTTGAGAGGGTGGCAAAAATTATAGAAAAAGGAATTGAGATAAAAACGATAATAATATGAATGGAAATATATATTGTACTTTAGCATGGGGGTGTACTTTGATGTTAACTGATTTAGCAGGTTCGTGGTCATCTCCAATTCTGTTAAGAAGTGAAAAAGGCTTAACAAGTATTTATTTTTTAAACCTTTTAGGCTTGTTAGACTCATAGGCTAGTTATTTAAATTTCAAGTCTGATAGAGAAAAAAACACGACCTAGAACCTTTGTCTATTTTAAACCCATTCCACAAACACATATGGACTTTACACTGTAGTTTTAGGTATCCAGTTTTTGCTGTGTATATTCTAGTATCCTCTTTATCTCCAATTTCACTTGTAAAGGAAAAAGTGAGGTCGCTGCAGAACTTTAAGTAGCTCAGCAGACGCACTCACGGAGTACTTACAGAGAAAGACAAGACTTTGAAAACAGCACGACCAGTCTCAGAGGAGCTGAGGGTTCAAAGCCCAGCAGCGGTGTGCGGCTACAGGCTGAGTGTGACAATCACGACACAGACACAACGCATCACTCAGAACATCATGTGCACCCGGCTGTTAGAGCCAGAGGGCCATGCAACACCACACTCAGGCCCAGCGTCGCAATGAAGCTTCACTAATAAGTGTTTTCAATACATGTATATGTTATGCGTTGTTTTTATAATTCATGATAAAATGATCATTATACTTTCATGTAACATGTATGAAATCTAAATAATACCAGCAGTTTCATGTTTGTATCAGTGGTTTCTGATATTAGAGTGGATAGACATAAAAAATCCTGTTTTTGACGAGGGAACGATGTTGCAACATAAATAAAAACACAAAAAGCTCCTGGATTCGTTTCCACCTACAGGGCCTTTCTGTGCGGGGTTTGCATGTTTCCCCCTGTGTCTGCGTAGATTTCCTCCAGGTTTCCTTGTTGTACTTTATTCATTTATTTGACTGGCAGAATGCATGTCAATAAACTTATATAGTAAAACATATTGTCGTCAAAGGCCAATTTTCATCTGTCGTTATATAGTGACATTAGTTTTTTCCCCAAGTGCTGATATTGCACTGTTTAAGCCTAAAGTATAAAATCAAAATGTCCAATGTGCTGTCTAATTACCGAATGAAACCATGTAAAAACCCCTTTTCACTTTTTCGCCAAAAGCAAAGTTTCATGCACTTAAACGGAGCAAGCAATCACTTTATTTTTTGCATATTTAATAATCAGAAGTTGTGCATCCTCACCTTTGTTCCACATGTTTTAAATATTGTTAGAGGCTCACTTTTTCAAACAGTTTTGTTGTAATATAAACAAATAAAGAAGCCATTCACAAGATCCAGTGAAAGGCGCTTCAGTTAGATGCAATGGGTGGTATTAAAAACATGTTGTGAACCTTGCCCTGACACGGCTAACCTTGCAATGAACCCCAACCAAAAAGAGCAGAGGGTCGCGGGAGGACTTGTTTTACAGCTTTGGTTTTGTTTTCCAACCAAGAAGGAGTGTAAGCTCAAGATTCTTTATACAAAATTAGGCTCAAGGTCATAACATTTCCTGTAGGCTGGGAAAATACAAGTATACAAGTCTGGAGTATAAATAGGACCGGCTACTACATAAAAACAGTGAAGCGCAAAGACTTGACTCAGAATAATTCAACACAGATTTGGATTTGGCCAGCGTTACGTAAGGGGAGAGAAATGTGACTCTTGAACAAACCTTTGCTGGAATACAAACAATGACGATATTTACAATGCTAGCCATTAAACTGAAGTACACTGTTTAGATTTAAAGTTATAGTATAATAAAATATCAAGTTTATCGACTGTTTGCACTCTATTGTGTTTTCCAAGTACACAGGTTTCTGAAAATACACAGCCAGATGGAGCGGTTATGTTACAGTCTGCCCGGTGTTAAATGAAAGATGTGTCGAGGGATACTTGGAGCCACCAGTGTTGGCCTTAGGAGGCCCTTCATGCAAGGCACTGAGCGAGACATGCAGGAAATTGAGCCCATATGATGTTTTTCCACTGTCACAAAGGAGATTTAGAAGAGATACAAGCAGTCATTTCTTTGGGAGGGATGGAAAACAAGAGAAGTACAGACAAGAGAGTAATCGTCGAGTAGAGCCCATGCCAGATGGAAAAAGGTGTTAGAGATGCTACCACTTTGACGATTTCTAAATATGGTCGGTGGACACGATGTGACTCAAAAGAAATGGAGCACAACAAAAGTTCCACTGGTTGTCGATTCTCTGGAGTTTTACTGTTGAGTTTATTGAGAGTTTAATACAAAACTGTACATGTTTTCTATTGTAATTGTAGTTATCAACGTTATTTAACCGGACATTTAGTGAGTAAGGTCTGTTTTGTGTTTCTACAGTCACCAAAAGTGCGGCCTTATTCTGCCATGGATAGAATGCCCTTCTTCTTGAGCAGAGTCAAAGCTGAACCTTCAGAAGACCTCTTGGCACACGAGCTGCACTTCCACACTCAGACTGAGCCGGTGGATCTGTCCATAAACAAACCTCGTCCATCTTCTTCCACCTCGTCCTCCTCGCCCCTCAGGTCGGCCTTCTCTCCCTCCTCCTCCTCCCTGTCAGTCATCACCTCTGCCTCCTCTGTGCTCTCCCCGGGCCCGCTGGTCGCCCCTGGGTCTGGCGTCAGAGGTCAGCCGTATTTGCACATACTGCACTCTGTGCCGCCGCCTCCGTCCAGCCCTCTCAGCCTGCAGGGAGCAGGGAAGCTGGCCAGCCATGTTCACCGCATCCCGGTTGTGGTCCAGTCGCTACCCCTCATGTACACCACTGCTGTTCGATCACCCTCCAGCCTCAACAATGCCATCATGCTACCTCTGCTCGATGAGGCCAAAAGCAAGGGCAAAGGTGAGAACGGAGCCATGCATGCTCTGAATATTGATATTGCCTACAGAGACGTACATTTAGAAATACTGACAATTATAATGAACATTTCATTACAACAACATTACAATTTAAGTGATGCTGGTTTATGACATGAACCATTAAGAACTTTAGCTCATAAGTTCATGTTGTCATCTTGTCTTTGAAATTAATTTACTAATTCATAGCAATAACACGTCATAATTCTTTTGCCTGATAGAGAAGAACAAAACAGTTCAGGTAGAACTTTTTATATTCAAATGAAATTCACATATTTAAAGAACTAAAACTTTTTTGAACACTAAGTATGGCTTGGATAATCTGTTTTCTGAGGGTGTGGTTTTACGGTCAGCCACTGGGAGTGACCCTACAGTAGGTGTCTCTGTCTGTGTCCAACTGTGTACTCTGAGCATGTGGTAAGAGGCTGCATCTCGTCCCACCCTGCTGCAGAAACTCAAGTACAAATAAGTTACTTCTTCCTTTCTGTGCTGCACTGTAAGTTTGACCAAACAAATAAATGTGTAATTGGAACAGACTGTATGTTGAGACAGACACTTGGACAACATGGGTGGGGTGGTCCTGGGAGATGGGCGTTTCAAACCTCTGGCTCCCAAAGAAGGCACAGGAAAGGAGGACAGGAAAAACAAGACTTTCATAAGAGGGTGTGGATGGATAGTGAAGGCGTGTTGCACTTGCACAAACACATGAAAGATACAGCCCAATATCTGTTCTGCCCAGAACCGAAGGCACCCAGCACAAAGGAAGTCAAGTGGATGAATGTTAAACGCTGGGTGTGGAGGACACAGAGACTTTTAATTAGATGGCAACCACAAGACAAACACATCGTCTCACAATCTATGCGCCTAATGCACCCCATGAACTTTATATTTGCTTAATGTTATGAGGAAGGGTCAGCTTGAAATTCATTTAAATCCATCTCTATAGTGATTCCTCTTTGTCATAGATCCTTTGTCAACAATTGAGTTTGACAGTGGCTTTTGTAACACTTTTCTGAAAAGAATCAAATTCTAACATTACATCAATAGAGGACTGCATTATAAAAGAGACAGAATATATTAATAATATTATTTAACTTTTTTTACTTTCCAGGAAAATATAATCTTATTTAGATATGATTTCCTTAGGAGGTCCAGACAGGGTCCAGACCCTTATGAGTTTAAAGGCGGCCGAAACAGACCAGCCATCTACAAAGTGCTTTAATGATTAATTCAATGCTTTAATTTAAACCATTGAATATTCAGAACAACCAATTTGTTTGCATTTCAAAGATTTGTAAAAGAAACAAACTACTACTGCAAGTATTTCTTGTGGGAAAAACAACATTATAAACATGGACAAATGCTCAAAACGCCAGTTTATGAAAAACCTTCAAAGACTGGATTTACCTTGTATGACACCATGAAAACCTGTGCAGTGATGCGCCCCAGTCACATAGAAGCTTTCATTATAGCTACAAAAACCCACTTGAACACACATACTTGGCCGAGCGCGCACACGGGCGCACTCAGGTTGGGCACCCTGCTTTTCACCGCTGTCTCCCTGTCTCCGCCAGCAGCAGGTTGCCATGGAAACAGGGCTTGACTGGAAACAACAGGAGAGAGAAAGAAAGAAATCCGGTGCTCTGCCCACCTCTTCAGCACTCCTCCTTTGTGTCCCTCGCTCAAAATACCCCCTCCGACACATGATGCATTTCTGACTAATTACAGGTTTCTGAAGGGTAGGCGAGCCAGTGACCACTCTGCACTTCTTAGACTACATCAACAGTTAGAAGCCTTTTAAAGCCACCGCCGACAGTGTTACAGCATTACTTCTGCATGCCCCCCAGTAATAGCACCATGTCTGCTACACCGGCACCCTCATTATGGCCCATTATGACCACAATTTCAACTGAAAGGCTAGCGGAGGACAATGTCAAACAAGCCAGGTATTGCGTTTAAACCTCCGCACAATAGAATCTCCACATACTTTTCTTGGATGCTTCTTTGCTCAATATTGTCATTTTACGGGGTTGATAACAAATACTATGACAATGAACAATGAGTCGACCACTGGAGACACCTGATGATCTGCGGATGTGACATTTAGATTCAAAGTATTAGGTTGGAACAAGGTAGACTTCTGTTACTGTATCTGTAAAAGTAGGTAACAAAAAAATAGCTGTGGATGGTTATCGGTCTATAAAACTGTATATCGTTAGCATCTCACTTTTTTTGGAATTGACCAAAAAATCTACGGATCATAATAGTCTTCCTGCCTTTAAAGAAAGAAAAGACACTCAAGAGTAAAAATATGTTCCCCTGAGAAGGAGAAATGAGAAATTATAGTGTAAGTTCATGTTTTTAACCAGGTTCATAAAACACAGACCCGGAGTTGGAATAAGATCAAACCACAATAATATCCGGAAGTTCTCAAAGTTCATCCTGGCACTCAGACAGTGACTTATGGACAGGTCAGGCTGACTGCAGTATCTACCCATAATACTTGTTTCACCATATTTTCTGAATATATAATTTCAAAATCTAAAACATGAAATGACAAAGTAAACAGTCTCCGTTTCAAGTTTTAATAACCAAAAATGCGTCATATTCCTTCTTTTAAAATGTTTCTATACGTTTCACAGACTATAAACCTGTACACACAGCGCCGTATGTGCTGAGTTTTTCCTTGCCGATGTAGGAGGGTCTGTTGGACAGTGTCTAACAAAAAGGACAGTAGTGATGATCCAGGACACTTTAACATTCTACAACATGTATGGACTTTTATCAACATGTGTTCTATATTCTTTATGTGTCTTAACTGTTGGTTCTCTGACCTGTGTTGGTGATTTCAATGGTTTTGTTAAGTCCTCTGAGATGACTTCTGTTGTGATTAAGGGCTATACAAGATTAAATTGTATTGTATTGTTTTGTAGTACCCTCTCCTTATCTGAGCGTGGTAAAGAATACGGCTTGTGCTGATTTGGCTCGGACTTATTTGCATTCTCCTCTCCGACGGTGACTGCTGGCTACTGTGGCACGCTCCACTGCTCTGACCGTAAATTAAGATTTAGTTTAGATTGACAGCTCCTGACAGAGAATCTGCTTTGTTATGGACAGCACCCGAGAGCATATACCCAATCGGCAAAAGATAATATTTACTCACCGTCATATCGTATATGATTTATATTGTGTTTATTTAGCCATTCATTTGACCACCACAAATCGTGCCATACCTACAGATACAATGACAGGTTGACCAGGTTATTGTATTGATGATTAGCTTGAGATGAGTTTGGGTGTTTGTAATGTGGTTTATGGTTGTAATATTGTACAATGTTTTTTTCCAGGACACATGGAACTTAACGGGCTGTCGCCACGGCACATCAAGAGTGATAGTGAAGATGACGACCTGCCAAACGTGACCTTGGACAGTGTTAATGAGACAGGCTCCACTGCTCTTTCTATAGCCCGCGCAGTGCAAGAGTGAGTACTCCCTATACTTTATTAAAAATATGAGCCATTAATTTAATTCAATTCAATTCAAATACATTTTTATCGTGTATAGCCTAAATCAGTCCTAAACCGTGGAATTCAACAACACAGATCAGAGAATCAGAGGAAACTGTTCAAACAAAAGAAATAAAACAGAAACCACGTTGGTATTGGGCCACAGGGGGCAGATGACCAATGTGTTGATAATTGTTCTCCAATGTCTTTTTTTTTGTTTTTTTTTTTATCTGTTATGAAGCATCTTTTTTATAGTGTGTACAGTCACTTATTAAAACTGTAAATATTTAGGGGCCATAATGGGCTGAAGTTGACCACATTAAAACTCGCTTCACACGCCTCAGGTCCACACTGCAGGATAATAATCGGTTTTAAACTTTAAACTTTTCAGAAACTGTGATCATTTTCAACCAGAAACAAAATACTAGTGCAGTATGAGCCAATGAAGCAAGGAGCCGGGGCAGACAGTGACAGACACAGTGATGCATAGAATACCAATATAGCAAACATTTCTCACCACAAGTAAGGCTACACACAAAGTAGTGAGTTCAGACCTTGAGACGTTGATATAATGTGGCTCAGAGAAATAAACTTTAAAACAGCTCTGCTTGTGTACAAGTCTCTCCATGGCCTCGCACCAAAATATATTAGTAACATGTCCCATATGAACCAGCCCGGACTCTGAGGAGCACAGGGACTGGACTCCTGTTAGTGCCCAGAGTCAGAACTAAACATGGGGAGGCTGCTTTTCAGATTCATGCTGCTAAAATCTGGAACAATCTTCCTGAAGATGTGAGACAGGCCTCCTCTCTGACAATGTTTAAAACCAGGTTAAATATAGTTCTGTTTAGCTGTGCATACAACTGAGGGTTTTTATATTTTTTATCTTTTTAATGTTTTGTGATTATTTATGATTTTAATGCTATCTTGTTTTGTTCAGCACTTTGAATTGCCTTGTGTATGAAATTGTGCTATACAAATAAACTTGCCTTGCCATAATGTGAGGGAAAATGAAATCAGAACAACAAACCAGTAAGATAAGTTTGAATTCCTTTCTATTCTGAAAGTTTATTGTACCCTATTCTCAATCTTGGTCTGGCATGTTGAATACATTTAGTGTTAAAGGTAAGACGTGTCGAAAGATACTTGGAACACATTACACAGGAAGATATTATACTTGATTATTATATTCTTTGTCATTTGTTTTAGTTTAAACAATAGTATTCATACTAATACCAGCAGTTCTACATACAAATAGGTTTTGATTATTCTATTGTTGTTGTTTCTCTAAAACACTGTTTTGCCATAATTGTTGTTTTGGAAACCATTGTTAACCATTCAAAGTGTGGCTTCATTGCGGCTTATTAAAAGGGACAGCTTTACCCCAGAGTGCCACACGTGGGCGCCGGGTGGTCAGAGGAGAACAGAGGTTGGCAGAGCCCAACCTTTCAGTGCCCAGGCCTTCACTATGGAGATAAATCACCGGGCAGGCTGAGTGCAGAACTGTGCCAGGGCCTGCCCACTCTGTCTCTCTGTGCAAAGTGCAGACTGTGCTTTGTGGACATTTTAGCCGGCTTTGTGCACGAAAAAATATGAGTGCTATTCAGAAATCCTATATGCGTCTGCATCCTGTAAGCGTGGTATAAAGAGGGATGTTTGTGTGTGGAATACTTGCTTCAGAACTATAATCGAAGCATGAATGGACATACAGAGTAGAACAAGGTATGAGGCAAAGGACAGAGGTACATAATGGAAATATGCTGAAAGCACATAATTAAATCAATTCAAAGCTGCAACCAGATGAACTGTGTTGTCTCTTCCATTTTACTTATTGTCCCAACTCTTTCTTAAATTGTGGGTGTGCACTTGTATAGTCTTGTTTTATAGCTTTAATTTAAAAGCTATAAAAAGCTTAGGCAAGGCACTTAACTCCACTTGCCTAGTATGAGTCTGGTGTGGGAATGATTGGTGATTGCCGATTGCACATGTTAGCAGCCTCGCTTTAGTTTACTTCCACAGTTGGGTGTCCTAAAAAGCGCTATATAAGAAAGTACTTATTTAGGGGAGATGCTTTTATGTAATTGGGTCTAGAGCGTTAGGGCGGAGGATGGGAGTGTCTGCTGCCTCCGATTCCAGGTATTCACGGATAAATAATGAAGTGTGGAGGAGAGATGGGAGGGGACGAGTGTGTCACGCACCTTTTTCATATTCATGTGTTTCCCTGGGGACGGCTGCATGGGCTTTTGTGGCAGAGCACGAGTGAAAACCACAGAATGAAGAGAAGGTGTGTGTTTGTTTATGTGTGAGTGCGTGTAGTCAGAGGGCAGAGGCTGTTGTTGGGAGACAAGTCTGGCTCTTTCCCCAAAGACCAGAGGCGAGAGCAGAGCAGAGCAGGTGAGAGAGGAGAGGTGAGGCGAGGGGAACCCAGACAAGTTCAGGAATGCCCACAGGCTCCCTGTCCAATAAGATACACACACAAACAAAACAAGCTTCCCGTTTCATCACAAAGCCTCTGTCAGTTCTGGTTGGCTCACTGGAGGAAATCGTTTGAAGTGACATTTCATGTTGCGATCTAATACATATGAGTAAGTTATGTATAATAGCAGCTCTACACTGATGCATATTAAAGGGTCAAATGTTTAAATAGGCTCTACCATGAATTCTAAATGATTTATATCACAAAAACGGGACAAAGAGAATGAGAGATGGGTAAACACTGTTATTCTTTTGAACATGTGACTCAAACATGTAGCCCATGAGACCATTTTAGTGCTTGCAAATGATGTGCTACCATGTCATGTTATACATCATTTTAAATTATTTATTTCTTTTAAAAAAACGCTCACATTTATTTGTATTATAAACATAATTTGAATAAATCAAGTGTCAATAACAATCTTTCTTTCTCCACTTTAGATTAATTCCAAATATAACTGAATTAATTGAGTTCTGAATAATCTATCAGAAAATGATATCCAAGCTCATGTTGAATAAAACTATGATTTGGTCAAAATACCTCAACAATAAAAATAAAAACCTCTGCCCCTTTCTGCAAGATTTAATATTTCTCTACTTTGGCCCTCTCAGATCCCAGCTCACACCTTCTTCACAAACAGCCACAGCTGACGGAGCAGGATCCATCTATCCTGTAGTTCTGAGCTGTAGTCTGTTTAACTCATAGACTGTAAATATTAATATGTAATAACGGGCATAGTCACGCCTATCTCCGCCGTTCTAACTAATGTGCCATCACTCTTGGCTTCTTTGGGGCTTTTTCCACAGGGCAGGGAAATGTGAAAAAACGCATTTGCGCATGAGTTAACCGGCACCAGCCCCATTCATTTAACGAGTGCCTTCAAAGGTCCACAGTGGCTAAACTAGACTGGTCCAAAAAAAGTACTCCCCTCAGCATTGACACGCATCTGGAACGTAGCTTTGGGCCGTTTTCGAGGAGAAGTAAGAAGACGTCATACAAAAGCATTGGATAATTCTCTTTCTGGGACCACCCTCACCGGTCCGGAGTGAGATGGCAAGTATGAAAGCGCACATGCTCATGGACCTTTTTGATCCGGGACCCGCCCCCACTGGTTTGACTTCAGTACTTAGTGTTTGAACACAGAAGTATTTCTCCAGTGTAGAGTGGGATGACAAGGCATCAGTGCAGTTACTGCGAACTCAGAAGTGAACAGATACTGTACATTGGCCCACATTTCTCTGCAAACATGGCATTATAAACACTGATATTATCACCATATAATTCATACTTTACAATTTAGAAAAAGCAAAACAAAAGCAGTTTTATACCTGGAAGATCTGCTACTTAAGGAATGGAACCATGCCTCTAGGCAGACGTTAGCAGTTTTTGTTCTAGTATATTTGTAAGAATTAGTCAATGTCTCCTTTTAGACTATATTCTGTTTCAACTAGAATTCTGTGATATCATGTGACCAAAGCCAATCAAATGGATGTGAAAATCCCACTGATTTCGACAACCCTTTTGATGAGTGTGAACGTAAAAGTGAGAAATCCAATAGGCCAATCCAAAAGGTAGTTGTACTGTATATGTGCTGTAACCATGAGCTCAGCTGTGGGTTGTGTCTCGGGTTTGACTGAAACAGTCTGTGATTGTGTGATGTTGTTGTGACTCCAGGTTCAAGGGTGCAAGAGACTGCCTGCAGCTACGTACGTGCACTTTTATTATAGGAACAAAGGTGCACGTAGCTGTGATACGACACATAACGCATAACCCTGAAACCACTTTGTTGTGACACTTGTGATGGGAGAGGAAAAGTATTGAGTATATGGTGAAGGACAGCTCAGCATTATGTTTGTATACAACTGGTCAGTCGTACTGCTCACAGAGTGTATATAGTGTTTCTGTCGTAAAAGAGAGGACAAAGACGCAGGGTGAGCCTGGTTAAGTGTCTTGCTGAATGACACAGCTAAAATCTCATCTGTTGCATCTGTTGCATCTTTTCTATTTTTATTTTTTAAACTTGAGGGTCTTTTCATTACTTTTAGTGTAAATATTCTTTTCAGGTAGATTATCTCAGTTTCCGTTGAACCAAAACAGGACCCATGGTAAATAAGGCAGAGTATTGCAGACAGATCAAGTCAAATGTATATTTGTTTAATATTTCTTAACTATTTGGGTTCAAGGTTTAGAAAGTTGGCTTTAAAATGATGTCTAAAATGCCAAGATATAGATACATCTATTTGTCATTAGATATGCCACATTAACATGATCAATGCTGCAAGTAAGGGTCAGAATTAAGATTTCTGTCTTGTGGGTCGTGTGTATATGCCTGTTCCATGCAAACGCAGAATATCGCTCATTAAGTATTTAATACAGATTTTCTGCATTTTACAAAACATAAATAAGACTGCAGAGACTACTTTCTGACATAAACACAAAAAGATGTTTGCGTTCATTCCTTTCAAAGTTCTAATCAAATCATAGTTATCTAACGTTAATCCCCATTGCATCTTTTTAGTCACAAACTCAACCACACGCAGACAAAAACAGCCATATACAATGACGCCACTGCACCCGGAGAGATTAGCCCCATAAACTTTCTGCGTTCCTTTAGCATTATGAAAGCCCGTCTTAGGTGAAATATTCGGCTTTTGACATTGCAGTACACTGTGGGACTGTGTGTGTGTGTGTGTGTGTGTGCAGAGAGAAAAGAGAAGAATTAGAGGGGAGTTTGAGTTCAAGCCATATCTAACCCATGTGCTCATTTCCTGCAGAGCCTCACATCGGCACTAGGCCAAAAGCAACAGGTGATTGTTTGGATTCGGGCTTGTGACGTTTTTTATGTAACTTTTTGTGTTTTTGTTTAGATGGCCCCTGTACTCACAATTTTGGCAAATGTGTTGAAACGACGTAAAAATCCAGGAAATTGTTTGATGCAAGGCAATGTAAAAAAGTTGACAATCCCTTTCTGCGTGTGCTTGCTTTGCTCATGGTTAAGCATTTTTGACATTGTGTAATAGATTAAATATATTGTTTCTTCAGCTATGGCCAACAGTGTATTATTGCCTGTCATAGCACAACTTTGCCTAGCATTGAGAAGTCCCCACCCTTTTAACAAACAGAGCTCTTCTTGTCCTTTTACCAGAAGTCATGTGTTTATTCCTTTTATCAGCGGCAGAGACGTCCAAGCCTTAGATTCGTCATGCCTGCTCTCGTCTTATGTTGTTGCGTACTTTCTGGACGTCTTTGTTGAGAGGATTACACAAGTAGGTCTGACAATGGATGACAAATGGCACTAACAACCAAACTATTGACATTACAATGCAGACAATATGTGTTGCCTTATGTATTGATGATACAAATGTCATTAGTCATTCTCAAAATCAATCAACATTAGGAAATGAAACCGTCCTGAGATATTTATTAGTAAGAACGTGGAGCCCGTCAAGAGCAGCTGTCCTGGCTCATCTGGACATTACAGATGTGACGTGGTGTTGTACTGCCACCTGCTGGACAAAACATGCCTCCGCTGTTTTAGTTCTTAGTTTAGCTCTGCAGTGTGGAATTGGCCTTTACTGTTGGATGAAGTGCACCTTTTGAAGAGCGTTGTTTTATCTCGTTACAACCTCTATTTCTGGCACACTTTTTTTTATTGGAAGAACTTTTGAGAGGATCATCTTTAAAAAAGGGTTATTTTATTGAACATGACGTTGTCTTTCACAAAATGTTTTTAAATGGCTGTTTGTTTTAATTTATATTATATTTATAATAATAATATTATTATTATAAAATTGTTTGCACCTTCTGTATAAATGTGATTTGCAGAAGGTGCAATTCCAATATTCAAGCTTCTGCGTCCAAGTAATTTCCCTTGTGGACAACAAAGTTTGTCTAAGACTACAAGTCAAATGGTTTTGAAAGTTTGAAAATAGTGAATTTTCAGATTAATCTTTTTCTGAAAGACATATGATACAATATTTCAGACCAAGCAATATTCATGGAGACAAGTCAGAAATGTGACATATTACAAGTTTTTGTGAAATAGTTATTAAATGTTTTCCTGTTTTGTTTCTTCTTGGTTTTGCAGCTCAATTTCACCGTTCAGTATTGAAAGCATACGTCGTCCCCGGAGATCAGAGTCTCCAGATTCCAAAAAGCGGAGGATCCACAGATGTGACTTTGACGGTTGCAATAAAGTGTACACAAAAAGCTCTCACCTAAAAGCCCACCGGAGGACACACACAGGTGGGCCATATTTATTGGTTTACGCAACCATCATCAGAAAGCTAATATTTGCCTTAAAATCACAATTTCACCAAAAAGGGCGAGTTATTGCAATAATCTATTTAACAAAATTTGAAAGTTTAAAATGTTTCCCTCAGAGTTTTGGATCATCTGTTGAACATGTTTTATAAAACATGGACAAAGGATGATGGAGTGTTTTATGGAAATATAACCATCATTATATTAATTCTTTTGACCGCTTAAAAGTGTTGCCATTTTTGTCTGGACAAAGTATTGCTCTCCAGGGGAACAGGTTGGAGACCCACATTTGAGATGAAGTCATCCATTTCTTGGTGAAGGAGGAGGAAGAGCCTGAAGCATGGCAGGCTGAGGAACGGATAATCTCAAAAGAAACAGACTATTTTTAATATATGGTATTCATAAAGCTTGTCATGAACCATTCATGCAATTATTTTTCCAATAATTTGCCAAAAAATCTGTAATTTTGTCAAAATTTGAAGTGCCTACCATTTGTAATGTTTATTGGGAGGACTTGAGAAGTGGAGCGGGAATAGTTGGGAGGTGTTAGCAACATTTTACAAGCATTGAAGCCTCAAACACAAGACAAAACATAAAACATGCAAGAATCAATCAAGACTCGTAATTACATATTACAGACATGTAGGCTACAGTCAGTAACTGCACTAACAAACGGCTGGACTAGGAAGCTGAGGTCCTATAGTTCTGTCCACTGAATTATAATCAGAAACAATCTCTGCACACAGAAAGATCAAACTCTAAAGTCCCCCTAACTTTTCCTTTGGTGAAATGAGGGTTCAGCTGTTGTCAGGCTTAAGGATCTCTGTCAGGATCACCTTTCCCACTGTGGGACGAATAAAGGATCTCTTAATCTTTCACAGCCTTGCCCAAGTAAAATCTCTCTTCACTTGTAGAGTTCATTCAAACTGGTACAAGTCCATCCCAGATTGTTTGCACTCTAAATTAAAGGGACACATCTTTATTTTAATCATTCACATTTCCAGGCTCTTGGTCATATTTCACCTTGTTGTACCTGTACAGGCGCATCGCTGTAATAAAAGGGTCTAAAAGACCTTCACTGTGACTTTCAGCCTTAAGTGGGCGTCATGTCAGTCGTGTCAGATCATGTTAATGCTAATAGGATAATGAGCCCTGTGGTGGCTGGCCTGCTGACCTTGTGTGTCTGTGTGCAGGGGAAAAGCCATACAAATGCACCTGGGACGGCTGCACATGGAAGTTTGCGCGGTCCGACGAGCTGACCAGGCATTACAGGAAACACACGGGCGTCAAACCCTTCAAGTGCGCAGACTGTGACCGCAGCTTCTCCCGCTCTGACCACCTCGCCCTGCACCGACGGAGACATATGCTGGTGTGACACCGGAGGGAGCACGGAGACACTCGGCAGAGAGAGGAAACACGCAGGCAGCCGGGGGAGCGGGATCTCCCCATGAATGTTTTCAGCTGGCCTGGACACAGCCACAGAGGAGGAAAGAGGAGGGTCAAGCCTGGATCCTTACTGTCAGTCCATTATGAGCAAAGAAAACTGTCTTTTACTGCACTGTTATTGGTAAATATTACACTTAGATTTTTAATTCACAAGTTTTCTTGGGACTAAAGATACAAATGCAATCAAACACGTCATTTGATGTTTTCATTCTTATTAATAAATTGCTGCTTTTTCAGCATTTTCAATGTGAAATACCCTGTTTGTGGGATGGATTTCCTGGGCGTTCTCTGGTGAACCAGAGACTGGACCTGCCCTGGGCCACAGGAAATACTTGGGCTAATAGGTCTCTGTTGGATTTACAGGCTTCAGTATTGTGCCCTTGTCTTTTTTAACCAGCAGAGGGAGTTATTTTACCATGCTTTCCTTTGCCTGTTCCAGTCTGCTGTTATACAGTACATGAAGGCATCTATTACAATAAGAGGGCTGGACTTTGACCTTTCCCGCAGCCATATAATGGGATTGGAGTTAAACAACTATATGGATCTAATTCACCACACTTTTTTTCGTTTTTTTTGCCATTTTGGACGTTCATTGTTTGTTAAACAATGAAATCTGGCATATATCATCCCACCAGCAAAAAGACCTCACTCATGAACTTCCATTCTCATTTATGTTGAGCCGCTTTGAAACATTTCCTTGAATTTGTGGATTTTGTGCTGTGATTAGCAATCAGTAAAAGTGCAATCTTAAAAGATAAATATTCTGTTTATTTCAGCTTTGCTTACGTCGGTCAGATAGATACAATCATTGGGTGAGGCTGAGGCACCTGACAGACTCTGCTCTCATTGGTCTCAGTGTTGTAGTTTTGCACAACCGTACAGCAGTGTTAAGGAGCTGTGTGATATCTGACTAAACCTATACCGTAGATGAGCAATACAAAAAAACAGATGAACATAAGGTATTGATGTCAATATGAGGGTTTGCCCCACTCGGGAATGTTCTACCACCCCCACATTTGGCTTGTTTAGCCCCTGCACAATGAGCATCGCGTCAATTATGTTATCTCATTTTATATATTTGAATAATTTCTCCTTTGCGAATAATAGTTTCTTATAAGAGTTTAGACATCACAAAAGATCACAACCAACCTGACTTTTGCAGAGTAGTGTACGCATTTAATTACATTTCAGCAAACATGCGTATTGGCATAGTAAAGTACCACCACTTAGTATTCATCACGACTTTTATGGTGATATTAAAAGACATTTATAAATTGAATTATTTTCTTTTCCTGTATGAAAGCTTCAGACATGAACCAGGGAGCATCAGGGCAGCTCAAATCATCAGATAGCACTTGCTAAATGCATTTCTTGGACTCAAGCCAACAATAGGAAAGAAAGCGTTTAGATAATAGCACCTTGGAAAAGCCTCCGTATTACAGCGAGCACATCCACAGTCACAGACGATACTCCAGAGCTACAGTGCTTCACCTATTTAGTTTATTAATGTCACATTTTAACCCTGCTCTCTGAGAAGAGAATTATATAACCATCATTTCTTGTGCACATGTCATTACCATTATTTTATTTGTTGGCAAAAGCATATCAGCACCTTTTTAATATAATAATTTAAAATCTTTTTTTTTTTTTTGATTTATTCACGCGTAATCATCTTAGTATATTTTTACTTCTTTACAATGTATGAGAATATGATTGTGGGGCACTTCGATGAATATACAGTAATGATTTCTTTTATGTAAAAAGTGAAAAAATGTTGTAATATATGTCATAGTGAAGAGAAAATTATTACAAAGTTCTACAGCCTTTATATATATAAATATATATATATATATATATTTGAAAAATAGGGCTTTTGTAGAATACGTGTTTAAACAGGTCTTTTTCAGAAACTGTAATTTATCTGATTTGATTTACATTGAATTTGGCTCATGGTATTTGTTATGTTCAAGACCATATGTGGAGTTTCCTTTGTGGTCAGAACTTCCCTTTCCGAAGGTATTACTGACACATTATTTATATTTCTTCAACATAAAGATCTGTTTTTCCTCATGGGATAAGAGCGTGAGTCATGGATGATGTCATGGATACAGGGCTGGTGATGGAAGCGTCTGCGAGAGCTTTTAAAGAAAACACGATGGCTGCAGAATGTGGCAATGAAATGAACATTGCAGCTTGAGGTTGTATCACACAATTGTCCAATCCAAAAGAACTAATTTTTTAAGACTCTTTGAATCCTTAGTCACCTTTATGACCTCATCTAAGTTTACAGTACTGTTACAGAACTTACTTAAAAAGGTACTCAACAATGTTTTTTTATTTTTTGTTTTTTTTTAACAAGAAAGAGCAGATTTCATTGTTATTTAACTTTGCATGCCTTAAAAGAAACACCTTTTACAGAAAGTCAATTCGACTCCACGCAGACAGGGTGTATTGTATTTCCCTCAGAACATTCTTTCATTTCTAAAGCATAATTTTGTAACGGTAACCAGGGTCAAAGTTATGCAATAATTATTAAATAGTGCCTCGTATCACAAACTTGTACAATGACTTTTTCAGCTTGGGTGCAGGATTTTAAAGCATTATCAAAATTAACAAAATATCTAAATCATTGTTTTGGAAAAAGCACAGATATGCAAGTTGGACCTCTCTTTCTATGTTTCCTTTAGCACTGAACCTTATGCCGCTGTGTTCTGCCCCCACATTTGAACTATAGCTTGCGTTCATGTTCTCAAATTCTATTTCAGTCTGGAGGGCAGGTCCCAACACCATTCTGTGGGAAATATGAATTATTTTGAAAGAAATGTTAAAAATGTAAAAGTGTTTCCCAGAATAATTATGTAATGTTGATTTGATTCATAAACTCACCACATTATTCTTCCTTTCAACTAGCCAACATCCCGCATATATTAATGTATGAATATAGTCACTACTTCTAGACACCTTCATGTCAAAATAATTAGATCATAGTTGATACGTACTGACAAAATGTATGGAACTCTTGTGACAGTTTTTGTTTTGTGTGGATTGGCCTCAGGAACCACAGAGAAATTAGCTATTAAGGCACCGCAATGTTAAACTATAGGAATGTTGTGATGTCACATGAACGCAAACTATTCTGTTTGATCCTGCATCTTTTGACTTCAACACATCGCATTCATGCAGATACAATTTGGTTTCATCCATAATTCTAAACTGTATGATGAGAAATCTTGCTCTCGATGTTACTGCGAGTGGGATTCCTGCTGTAGACGGATGCCTTTGTCAATAATTACTAATATCAATAATTTGTTTTATTTACTGCAATCTTATTTTTTCCTGGTTTTACGAAGATTTTGTAAGTAGTGACGCCAATGCCTATGTTAAAGTTTGCAGATATTGCGTACAGTAATTGTTGTTTCTGTATTTATGTAAAGTGAGTGTAGTGTAAATATTTTGTTTTTCATTCTTTACCTTAACAACATTGTGATTGCAAAAGGGAGATTCTGCTTCATGGAATTCCACAGCGATAAAATAATTTCTAGTTCTGCTATTTTACAGAAGCGTTTTAAAAAGGTGTCCTGTTATTTTTCCTGTTTTGTTTCTCCCTCAAAGCTGTTTAAGTATTCAGTCAGTGTTTTGCCTTTTATTCCCTGTATTTTCATATGGATGGAGCTGTGAAATTAAAATAAGTTAAAATATACATGTATATTAATTATGAATGGAGGCATGAAGGTTAATAAAGTTGAATTTTGTATGTAACCTGTTGTGAGTGAACTTTTCAGAGTTGAACTTGTTTATTTATTATTTATTTTTTACACAGAGTGAACTATTTCAAGCTATAATGTTAAAGATTATGTCTTGGAGAACTAAAGATTGGGTGTCTTAAAAAAAAAAAAAAAATTAAATGGAACCAATCAAAGAAGGGATGCTTTAACAAACAGCTCTGTACTTTGTCGGACCTTCTTTTTCAAAATTGCTGCCGTTTTTTGTTTCCATTTTCTTGAGATATGCCAGTAACCGTTTGCAGATGTCCAATATTAATAACTATATTGATTATTAATATCCACTATGTTCTATATTGTTGGTAACTAACAAACCCAGAAAAAAACAAAAACTCCAGGCAGAGTTAAAAATGTAAACAGCTGGAAACAACGATTAAATGGTTCGGCATCAGAAAAGGCCAGTTTTAAGCCTAACATACCAGAAAAGTTTAACGCTGCACCTAAAAACAACTTACAAAAGTAACTGGGAAAGAAGAATAGAAAGAAGGTTCCAGTTTCTTCCTGTGGCTTCATTTCACAAAGGCACTTTCAGAAGTGATTACACAGATTGGCAAGTGCACATCTGCCAATTCTGGACATGACAGATTTGAAATCAATGTGCAATAATAAGTCAAAAGGTATTAAATAAAATGTCTCTTAAATCACTATTCTATGAAAACTTGACCCAATGATTCTGATGCAACCTGTATGTGTTGAAACGGAGATTACCAATGTACATGTCAAAGGGAAGTTTCAAACTCTTTCCGCTATAGTCTTCAAGTATACACAAGTTTTAATTGCTAAAGTTGAACTATTTCAATATCCAGGTTCAAAAGAACATTATAAGTGAAGGTTACTGGTATGATCCCAGGCAGCTTCTTATTATTATTTTTGCCTTTTCTTTGTTCGTGTGGCTACAAATCTTGTGTCCTTGTTCCATTAAACACGCTAATATAATAATGTTTTATTGCCAGATCTTTGGACAGGCACAGATCACACTATTGAAAACGTCCACAATTATAACATGACCACGAAAACTGGCACTCTGACAATTGAACATCATGAATATTTTGATCATATTCCAGAGTTCTACCGATGCAAGACAAGATCATACTTTCATCTTTAATTCAGGCACGTTAAAGGTCCATATAGAATGTAAAGACATCAA